AATTTCAATCAAAGCGTTGTATATAACTAGTTTATAAGTGAAAGCGTTAAAAAAAAAAAAAAATTCTTTTCTTTTTATTTTTAACAATAAAAAAATTTATTTTGCATTCTTTATTGTGATAATAGTAAGTAATAGTTTGGACATGTCAAGTGCAAAGATTCTTACATGCACCTAGCCACCTAGGTGCAATTAAGGATAGCTACATTTAAGGGTAAATTATGCTCAGTTGATATTTATTTGTCAATTTGAAAATTTAGAAATGAGCAAAAACAAATATTAAATGAGTTGAATCGATTTTTGCAATGATGTGTCAGGATCCAAATTTGAAATGGTGAAACAAGGACTTCTCTGCTATAACAGAACGCTACAGTTGGATCACTACAAGAAAATATAGCAAATTGTGACACAATTGATTGGTATGACGCTTTTAAAAAGGGTCACAATATATTTTTGAGCGAAAATAGGTTCATCACATGTATTGACGCTTTTACCTCCTGTTCGCATTACTCACAACATTTGCCAAAAATGGCTGGTTCACATTACTCGCAACAAATTTTTTTTCTTTCCTTTTGTAATAAGTTTTTTGGTGCAAAATGACCATTATACCCTTACTTTTTTAAAAAAAAACCACCCTTCTTACACTACAAATCAGCTTACATTATCTTTAACACAAGATTAATTAAATTAACCCTTACCACCAAATTTACCCCCATTCTTTTAAAATCACCGTCTCCCCAACCACCTTCATTAAATGCTTCTGCATTCAATTCATCTGATCAAGATGGTTGGGTTCTTTGAATTATGGAGAATTCTCCACAAAAACCCCCTTAACCCTAGTTTTTCATTTTCCACTCTCTCTCTCTCCTACGCCGATCTCACTCTCTCTATCTCTTCATATTATGGGTTTTCTCCATTCTCTCTCGTCAATTTCTTTGTTGGATTTCTCTTGTTCCTCACCATGAGTGCTCAAATGATGAAAACCCAGAACTTTTTTGCTACGAGTCCCTTGGATCTAATAGAGTGAAGGCAAAGGCTTGTTCTCATCCCACAAGATACAAACCCCAGCGAGGAAGTGGAATTACGAAACCAGTTCGTCGCTCTTCTTTGATTGCTAGAAGGCACATACGCGGGGCCAAACTAACTAAGTACATCTCTAGCGACGAGGAGGAGAAGCCATCGGAGGTTGTTTCTGGGCCTAAGGAATTTGTTCAACCAACTCATGCCTTAGATATGGTTGAAAAACCTGTCCAGGGGAAGAGTGCTGCTGCTGTTGTGGCAGTTGAAGGTGCTGGAGTGGTGGCTGATGCTGGATCTGAAACTAGGGAGTGTGGGCCAATAAACCTAGTGGCTAGTGAGGTTGTGTAGCCCTTAAGTCCCCCGAACTGCAGCCTGGGAGTAGTGTTGGACCTTCTATTGGTGTGAAACGAATCAGATATGGACTCCCTGATGGTATGGAGCCTAATGATGTGTACATGGTGTATCTGTAGATCTACTACCCATAATACTACATTCCTCCTAACTGATTGCGCAACGTAATTTCTTAAACCCTAATTTTTGTTATTTTTAGTTTTAATTTGGATTTGTTGGTTGTTATTTTTGGATTTGAGGAGTCCCTATGCAAACCCTAATTATTGTCTATGCTCTGGTCAATTATTGAATTGGATCTACTTTGTTGCTTGTGTGTCTATTGTGTTCCCTGAGTCCCCTGATGTTAATTGTTCTAGTCCCAGGTTAGTGTTTGTGTATGTATTTTGTTCTTTGCTTGGAAGGGAATGACTTATTGGTGATTGATGATTTTACTTATTATGGTACATTGATTGAGTCCCAAACCTATTTGAGATAATACCCATGAAGGAATATGTTGACTTTGACCCCCTTGTTGGTTATTCTTTTGATGCATTGAGTCCTTAATTTCTATTTGCATCAATATGTTTGACATCCAAATGATGAAGGGACTCAACTGATAACTTATTGTGAAGTGAAGATGCTCTAGTAACTTCTTTCTGAAGTTGTTGTTGAGGTACCCACTAACAAGATAGCTTTGATTGAAAACACCCTATCTGATGGATTGTGTACAAAATGTTATAATCTTCATTACTACCAAAAGTGTGTGTTCTTACATATAAAACTGTCACTTGCATACATGACTCCTTATAATGTGTCCTAAATATTTACCAAAATACACATAACCAATACATAAACAAACAAAAAACAAGTTTAGGTGTTACTGGTTATGTGTGGCAGTCATTGAGTCCCAAAAAACTACCATTCTTCCTTAATGTAATCAGTCTGCACCCACCTCCATGTGTGCTTTATCTTGAGTTGTTGTTGGAACTGATATGATGTTCAAGTAGTTAACCACAATTGTGATCAGTTCCTTGTCAACTTCTAACAATTCTAGTAGTATCCCTTGCATGTCCAAGGTTCTCTTCTTCATGTGTGGTGGTGTGAAGTTGTTTCTACCTTGCTTTGCTAGTATTTGAAGCATGCATGGTTCTAGAGTAATCCATGTATACTTGTTCAAAATAGGTTTAAATTCATCAATTGCTCTTTTCAATTCCTTAATAAGGTTATCTAGATTTTTGGGAAATGATTAGTATTACAGGGATTAAATTACCCTAAACAGACCTAGATCTAAAACATTCAAATCTGGTGACTTAGCTGGTTGAAGCGCAAATTGAATGTTGAATCCATGTGCTTGTGTTGCTACTTGAAATTCTTCATCCTTTGGTACTTGATGTGGCCTAGCATTATCCCACTGAATGATTTTATCCTTGGGCAGTTATGCTGGCCATTGTGCATGTATTGTTGGAATTACGTGGTTTAGTAACATGTCCCTTATTTCTTACTTGTTCACACTCTACACAACCTATGTTTCTAATGTGCCCTTGTCTCTGTTCTTGCTTTTCTTATTGGATATTTCATACTTGACAAAAGGAAACAGACCATACTTCCCATCATGCACTAGATTCTTGTGTTCATCATATAGTGGCTTCCCTATCATCCCCATGAGCATAGCCTTTACTTTGAACCTCTTTTACTGTTGTGCTTTGTATGGGTCTTCCTCTTTTGGGAGAAGATAGAATGTTAGATAAAACCACTTCTCATCTATGTGAATAACTTGTTGCATGTCCTTAAAGGTAGGGTCTCATACTACTGGAATGGAATTCTCCCATGACTTAGAACCCACTTGAGGCTTGCTATTTTGTGATTATTAGTGAGTTTAGGGTGATAGGTACTTGTGTGTGTCCTAAGTTTGCCCTTCTTCCTTAACCTATGTAGTGTGGACTTTGAAATATATATGAAGGGCTGCAACATAGCCCCTTTCAGTGGTCCTCTTATACAAGGGAACGGATGTAAGCCAATCATCTGTGTATTCTCTAGGTTTTGGACCAATTTTGCTTAATTTTTTGGTCCTGACATATCAATAACATTCCCCTGTTCTATGTGGTTTTTGATTACGTGGAACCATCTTGTTGTTGTTGACCTATGAACATAATATTTTCTGGCCAAGGTGGATAAAAATCTTGTTGAATTGACCACCTTATATTTTGATGATTGACCTACATAAAACAAACTTTGACTAACGACATTTATGAGTCTTGGTTAAAACAGAAGATTCAGGTTTGAAGTTAAATGTTCCGGAGTAGGAACAACAGAGTTTGGAAGACTTGATGATGAATGCAAGCTTTCAAGATGTCCTCACAACTCTATATTTTTAGTTACTCAGTGTACGAACTTAAGAAACAAAAGTGTTGGAAGGAATTAAGAAGAAACTCGAAGTTCCTGAAGGAACCTGAAGTTCCTGAAGGAACTTGACGAATGACTCAGAAAGTTTTAAACGAAAGTTTTAAAATGGTTTTCGAAAACCCTTAATTTAAGGAAGTGATAAAAATCAGTTTTGAAAAAGATTTAAAAATATTTTATAAATAAATAAATAATTCATTAATTTAAAAAGATAAGTTTTAAAGTAATTAATTATTTATGTTTTAATTAATAAATAAATAATTATCTTTTTTTAGTAAATAATAATTATCTTTTGAATAAGTCTTTAACTGATTTTTAACTTGGTAAATATTGGCTGCTTAAATTAAGGAGCACGTTGAATTTAGGAGTCAAGCTAGGGAAATCATGTTTCTAAATTTCCTCTGCCTACATCCCAACTTCTCAGTCAAAGAGAACGTGGGATTAAGGGGGGAAGTGGGAACTTGATGGAAGCTTGGTTTAACTCCTTATAAAAACAGATCAACGTTAAGTTTTGACAGCGTGGAAAAATAATCTTAAGTATTCTGAGCATAGAGTTTCAAAGTGTTTAAAAGAGAAGTTCCTTCCATCCTTAGTCTCTTAAGTTCTTTAGGAAATACTTGTAATCATTGTGTAATTGGGTTTGGGTTGTGAGAGTTGTAAAGTGTGAGACTTGAGAGAGTTGTTTACACTGTACAAGTGATTCGGAGTAGAATCACAAAGTGTGAGAAACTGTGATTGAGGGATCACAGTTGGGTAACTTGAGTTCCTCACGGAACTTGAGTCTAGGCAACGTATTAGTGATTGTAAATCATTTTTACGTAGTGAATTTATTCATTGCCTATCTCAGTGTCTTTTCTCTTAGTAGTAGATTTAATTCCGCAAAATTTACCATAGTCTACATACACTACAATTCACCCCCCCTCTTGTAGTATACATTGTTCTATTAATTGGTATCAGAGCAAGGAACTCGGAAAAGCAGGAAGCCCTGTCGAGTCAAGTTCCTGGAGGAACAATGTCGAAGGACGAGAGACTAGCTGAAGGTTATTCTACACAAAGACCTCCACTCTTCAATGGGAAGTACTACGCCTATTGGAAGACGAGGATGGAGATGTTCATATAGTCCGAGAATTATCAAGTCTGGCGAGCTATCGAGGTAGGAGATAACGAGGTAACAAAGACCAATGCAGAAAACGAGGTAATTCCTAAACCTATTTCTGAATACGATAAAAGCGACTTTGAGAAGAAAGAGATTAATGCTACTGCTAAAAAAACTCCTAGTTTGGGGTTTAGGGCCAGATGAACACACTCGTGTTATGGGATGTAAAACAGCAAAAGAAATATGGGATTTACTAGAAATAACCCACGAAGGAACTCATGAAGTTAAACGTTCTAAAATTGATATACTGCTTTCTAAATATGAACGTTTTGAAATGGGTTCAAAAGAAACTATTCAAGAAATGTTTACTCGTTTTAAAAATATTACTAATGAATTAGTTTCTCTTGGTAGAGTTATTCCTATGGATGAACAGGTACGCAAAATTCTAAGGAGTCTTCCTGAAGATGAACGGTGGAGATCCAAAGTGGCAGCTTTGCAGGAATCAAAGGACTTTACAACTTTCAACCTTGAACAACTTGCAGGTTCCTTAATAACTCATGAGCTTCACCTATCAAACAAAAGCCAAGAAAGTTCAAAGAGCTGAGGAATTGCTATAAAGGTTGTCCAACCAAGTGAAGAGGATTCCGAATCTGGAGAGGAAGAAGCTGCCATGCTAGTCAGGAAGCTAAAAAAGTTGTACCGCAACAAAAGGTTTGGTGACCAAAAGAAAAGGAACTTCAAGAAAAACCAATATTCCAAGGAAACTGGAGGATGCCACAAATGTGGGAACACAGATCACTTCATCAAGGAATGCCCTCTCTGGGAATCAGAAAAAGGAAAAGGCAAAATGAAGGAACACGGAAAATCTAATACTCCAAACTTTTCAAAATCTGATTACAGGAAAGCCATGATAGCTGCGTGGGGAGACACAAGTTCCGAGGATGAAGAAGAATCCACGGAAGAAGAGACGGCAAACCTGTGTTTGATGGCTAAACAAAGTGAGTCTGCTAAAAAGTCAGAGGAGGTAAATCTCGAACCTAAATTTCTGAAATCCCTGTCAAAAGACAAATTAATTTCTTTGCTCATAGAAACTTTGGATGAATATAAAGAAATATGTCTTAAACTTGGACAAAATGAAAAAGCTCTAGAAATCTATAAGGATCATATGAAATATTTGAATAGTTCAAGAACAGATGTTCAGGGAAGATTCTTTGATTTGCTAGATAGAAACTCTATGCTAAAGGAAACATTGGAAAGAGTCAAAAATGAAAATATCATGTTAAATGTTGAAATGACTCAGTATAAATTGTTATGCACTAACATTGATTCTAATAATGCTCTTCAATTGCCTTTAGTAACCTTTAATGATGATCTTGAAAATTTGAAAAAAGAATTGCAAGTTACTAAAGACAAAAATGAATCCCTTGAAAAGGATTTAGAAAGAGCTAGAAACAACAAAAGTGCAATCCACATGGGAGTTCCAAAGTGGATATCTGAAGCTCAAACCAGAAGGACATAGGGTTTGGGTTTCAACCACAAAAAGAAGAACAGTAGTAAAAAGAAAAAGTACGTGGAACTCCCTAGTGAGACTGTGTATTCCTTCTGTGGCAAGTCAGGACACTAAGACACTGAATGTAAAAGGAAGGAACTCAAGTCTGCTAAAAACATGAACTATGTATGGCAAAAGAAAGTTGAGTCTACTGTGTCAACGCAGGAACCCATGAAAGATGGGGTTCCTGAATCTAACCCTTAGTTTCTTTTGCAGGTCGTAGTGAGGGGGAACAACCAATGGTACCTTGATAGTGGTTGTTCCAAGCACATGACAGGAGATAAATCAAGATTTCTCTCACTGACGGCCTATACAGGAGGAACAGTGACCTTTGGTGATAACAAGAAAGGCAGCATTGTTGCCGTAGGAAAAGTTGGAAGGTCAAGTTTCCAAGCTATTGATAATGTTTTTTTAGTCGAGGGCCTCAAACACAGCTTATTAAGCATATCACAATTTTGTGATAAAGGAAACTCTGTAAGTTTTGATTCTGAAAAATGTAGCATCATTCAGAATGACACTGGGAAAGTTTTGCTGGAAGGAACTTGGAAAGGAAACACTTATACAGTGGATCTCAATACAGTTCCGAGGAACAACTTAACTTGCCTCAGTGTCATTGAGGATGATCCCTTTACTGTGGCATAAACGTTTTAGTCATGCAAGTTTCTCTTTGATTGATAAGTTAAGAACAAGGAACTTGGTAGAGGGACTTCCTTCAATCAAGTTCCTATGTGACAAAATTTGTGACGCTTGTGTGAAAGGAAAGCAGGTCAGGACATCCTTTAAATCCAAGAAGATGGTGAGTTCCACGAAACCCTTAGAGTTAATTCATATGGATTTATGTGGTCCTATGAGAATTCAAAGTAGAAGTGGAAAGAAGTACGTCTTAGTAATTGTTGATGATTATTCTAGATTTACATGGGTTATTTTTATGTCTAGTAAGGATGAGACTTTTGACGAGTTTGTTACATTTTCCAGGAGAATTCAAAAGTCCACAGGTTATCAACTGATACACCTTAGATCCGATCATGGCACTGAATTTGAGAATTTTAAATTTGATGATTTATGCAGGGAACAAGGCTTAAGTCATAATTTCTCAGCTCTAAGAACTCCACAGCAAAATGGAGTTGTGGAAAGGAAGAACAGAACCTTAGAAGACATGGCTCGAACCATGTTAATAGCCAGCGATCTTCCAAGGAACTTCTGGGCAGAAGCCGTGAATACAGCCTGTTATATTATAAATCGTGTCATGCTAAGGCCTATATTAAATAAGACACCCTATGAACTGATGAAAGGCAGAAAACCGAACATATCTCATCTTAGAGCATTCGGTTGTAAATGTTTTGTGCATAATAATGGTAAAAGAAACATAGGGAAATTTGATGAAAGAAGTGATGAAGCCGTATTTATTGGATATGCTACTAACAGTAAAGCGTATAGAGTTTACAATAAACGTACTATGTGTGTTGAGGAAAGTGCGCATGTTATATTTGATGAAACTAATCCACTTCCATGTACACAGGAACATGAGGACTATGACTTTGAAATTGGTCTAGTACGTTCTCAAGAACAAGAAGAAGATGAAATAATTCCAAATAAGCAGCCAACTCGAGTAAATGAAAATCATGAAAATCCGGAGAAGGAACTCGACATACTGACTGAAGTTCCTTCGACAGAACAACCTCAGATTGAAGAACCTGCCGAGGAACCAATTACACAAGAGGAAATCACTAAAGAAGAAGCAACTGGCTCAGAAAATAAGAATAGTCGAGTTACTATCCAAACCTTCCAGCCCAAACCGTGGAAGCACCAAAAGTCACACCCACTGGACAAAATTATTAGTGACTTATGCTAAGGAACTCAAACTAGATCGCAAATGAGGAACTTCTGTGCCTTCAATGCTTTTCTATCTACTTTGGAACCTCGCAACCATAAAGAAGCCTTAGAAGACCCTGACTGGATTATAGCCATGCAAGAGGAACTTAATGAATTCAAAAGAAATCAGGTATGGCATCTTGAACCTAAGCCACTAGATAAAAGGGTCATAGGTTTAAAATGGGTCTTTCGAAACAAACTTGATGAATATGGTACAATTGTAAGAAATAAGGCTAGGTTGGTTGTAAAGGGATATAACCAACAGGAAGGTATTGATTTTGAGGAAACATTTGCTCCTATTGCTAGACATGAGGCTATTAGAATTTTAATATCTTTTGCTGCTTTTATGGGTTTTAAACTGTATCAGATGGACGTAAAGTGTGCGTTTTTGAATGGTTTATTAAAAGAAACAGTTTACGTCGATCAACCCCCTGGATTCGAGAATCCAAACTTTCCAAACCATGTTTTTAAACTTGAGAAGGCTCTCTACGGGCTAAAACAGGCTCCAAGAGCATGGTACGAAAGACTGTCCAAGTTCCTTTTGGAAAATGATTTTAAACGAGGAAAAATTGATAAAACTTTGTTTTTAAAATCTAAAGGAACTCATCTCTTAGTTGTGCAGATCTATGTTGATGATATTATATTTGGTGCAACTAACGAATCTTTGTGCAAGTACTTTGCTGACTTGATGTGCAGTGAGTTCCAAATGAGCATGATGGGGGAACTCAATTTCTTTTTAGGATTGCAGATCAAACAAACAGAATCAGGAATATTTATACATCAGCAAAAATATGTCAAGGAACTCCTGAAAAAGTATAACCTTGACAGCGCAAAGACTAACCACACTCCTATGGGAACTAACTCTAGGTTAGACGAAGATCCCTCAGGAACTTGTGTGGACCAGACAAAGTACAGAGGTATGATTGGTTCCTTACTATACTTAACTGCAAGTAGACCTGACATTTCTTTTAGTGTTGGTCTGTGTGCTAGGTTCCAATCAAACCCCAAAGAATCGCATCTAACAGCCGTCAAGAGAATACTGAGATATCTCAAAGGAACTGACGACTTGAGTTTATTCTACCCAAGAAGTGACACATATGATCTTACTGGATTTTCCGATGCCAACTATGCTGGGGATTTGGTGAATAGAAAAATTACATCAGGTATGGTCCAATTCCTAGGATCTTGTTTAGTTTCTTGGAGTTCCAAGAAACAGAATACAGTTGCTCTATCCACAGCAGAAGCAGAATACATAGCAGCTGCTGCATGTTGCTCACAACTGTTGTGGATAAAACAACAATTACGTGATTTTGGCATAGTTCTTGAATGTGTTCCAATATACTGTGATAATACAAGTGCTATTTGCATATCAAAAGATCCAGTACATCATTCACGTGTAAAGCATATTCATGTTAGGCATCATTTTCTATAAGATAATGTGGAAAAAGGCTCTATTAAACTAGAATTTGTACAAACTGAATATCAAATTGCTGACATTCTAACAAAGCCTTTGAGTAGAGAAAAATTCAAAAAGATGCGATTGGAACTCGGAATGATAAAGCTGAATTGAGCAGTTCTTCTTGGAACCCTAAGGTATGTCTTAGTGAAACGACTGAGCATTGCTATATATAACCTTGGTGTGAAAAACATAATCTCGAATCTTGCAATGAAAGAGTGTGTAATTCTAATGAGTGTGTGATCATGTGATTATGTTGATGAAGAAGACAAATTAAGCCATATTATTTTCCAAGTTCCTTTGTGAAAAGCTCTGTACAGGTCAACCAGTATTTTACTTTGAAGTAACTTACTGGAATATTTTTTCTTTCGTAATTTTTAATTTTCTTTATCTTTCAATTTTTATCTTTTTATTAATTTTATCTTATAAATTTCAAACAACAAAAAGATTTTTTTATTTTCTCAATTAGATTTTATCTTACTTTTTATCTTACTTTTTATCTTTATCTTTAATTCTTATTTTATCTTAATCATTGTAAGTAAATCACAAAATCCTTTACCTTACCCCACTAAACTCTCAACCATCATTCATCGAGAATTACATTCTCAAGCCTGAACACATCCTTCAAGAAAAATCATTGTTAAAGCTGAATTTAAAAGTGGTGAATGGGAATGTTTGTTTTGCATCTGATGTGCAAAGTGAGTCTGAGGGGGAACACAGTGAGGGGGAAGGAGAAAAGAAAGAGGAAGATAGTGAGAAAAATACAGAAGAAATTGGTGAGAAAGAAACAGAAAAAGATAGTGACAAAGAGGTCGAAGAAGACAAGAGTGATGGGGAAGTAGAAAAGAAGAGTAGCAAAGGAGAGAAAACAGAAGGTGAATCAGAGGAAGCAGGAGAAAAAGAAAAAGAGAAAGATACAATAGAAAAAGAGAGTGAGAGTGATATAATAGAAAAAGAGAGTGAGAGTGAGAAGGAGGAAGAGGATGATCAAGAGAAATTAATGAAAGAGTTGCTTCAGGAAATTGGGGGCTCTATCAAACACACCCCTGTAACAGGAAGGAGAAGGAGAAGTATCAGACTTGCTACATCTAAACCCAGAACCCTGCAATCTGAGCCTGTTATTGTTGAGTTGGATGATGATTCAACCAAAGTTTCTGAAGGAACTTCCATCCAAGTTCCTCAGGGTCCCTCCTCATCTGTTCCAGAAGAAACTCCATCACCACCTCCAATTCCATCCCCTGCTCACCAAACCACACCTTCTCCACCTGCTTCACAGCCTCGTACTTCTGGTCTCGGCTTCAGTGCTTTTAGCTCTGGTCCAAGTTTCTTGCAAATACAGGAGGAACTTAAGCTTTTGTCCACTACACTTACACAGAGTATAACTAACCTTTCATCTAAAGTGGATAACCTGGCTACTAAAGTTGAGGGGCTGCAAACTCAGATGCTTTCTCTTGAAGATAAAGTAAATGCTCATATGGACTCCTCGGCTCAGGAACTCAAAGCTAAAGTGAAGCAAAGTTGTTACAAGACCATTCTCGATGCGATCAAGGATGTTACCTTACCATGAAGCTGCTACCATTTCCTAGCCCTTTGCAAAACAAACCTACCCCACTCTTTCTTGTGATTTATTAAACAGTGATAT